TGATGTTGGCCTCTCTATGTTGCTGGTGGATTTCCGGAATGCCTTTAATTTGGTTGATCGTACGGCTTTACTGCGTGAGGTTCGTCTCCGTTGTCCATCTCTTTCGCGTTGGGTTGAATTCTGTTACTCTACTCCAGCCAGGCTCTATTATGGGGAGCATACCTTAAGGTCATGTCAAGGTGTGCAGCAGGGTGATCCACTTGGCCCTTTGCTTTTTGCTTTGGTGCTCCATCCGTTGGTTTGTCGAATTAGGGATTCGTTCGACTTATGTTTGCAGGCTTGGTATTTGGATGATGGCACTATTATTGGTGACACCTTGGTGGTAGGGAAGGTTATGGAGTTGATTTTGGTGGAGGGACCTCGTCTCGGCCTCCATGTTAACGTTGAGAAAACGGAAGTTTTCTGGCCCTCAGAGGACCCTCGTAGCCGGCTGGCCGGTGTCTTTCCTCCAAATATTGCTCGTCCTGCTCATGGGGTTAAGTTGCTTGGTGGTCCTATCAGTGCGGATGCCTTTTTCTGTGGTGATCTTGTTTCGCAGAGAGTGTCGAAGACCATTGTGCTCATGGATGTTGTTGCTAAGCTTGAGGACCCCCAGTGTGAGTTGCTACTACTTCGTGCGTGTATTGGAGTTTCAAAACTCTACTTTTCTATGCGCACTTGTCCTCCTCGTCTTTTTGAAGCGGCTCAGATTTCTTTTGATGAGGCCCTTCGAGTTTCTTTGGAGCGCATTGTAACTGCTTCGGGGTCAGGTTTCGGTGATTGGCAATGGCGACTTGCCACCTTACCTTTTTCTTATGGAGGATTGGGTGTCTATTCAACGGGTGATTTTCGACACTATATTTTTCTTGCGTCGCGCTTGCAGTCTTCTGGTCTTCAGGCTTCGCTTCTTCGCAATTCTGGTATTGTTGGTCCAGGTCCGGCCTTCGACGGCGCTCTTAGTCTTTTTAATAGGACTGTGGAGACTGACCTTTTGAGTAACCCTAGTGAGATCGCTGCCCCCAAACTCATTGAGAAATTGGCAGATATATATTTCACGAAGGTCTCTGCATCTGCAAAATCCACTTTCTCCTTATTTTCGCGTCAGATTGCCTTATGGAAGTCCTAGCAGGGGGATCACACTTCTGCCTGGTTGCGAACGGTCCCGATATCCGGTCTGGGTCAGACTATGAATGGTAAGACTTACTGTTGTGTTCTTTGCTACCGGTTGGGTGTTCCCTTGTTCGCCGTATCGGCACCTTGTTCTGCTTGCTCAAGGGTGTTTGATGGGGATATTTATGGGGATCATGCAGTGCCTTGTGCTGGGATGGTGGGTATTAAACATCGGCATAACGTTGTTCGTGATACCCTTGTTGATATTTGTTTTCGCTCTGGGATTTCTGCAAGAAAGGAGGTCGACGTTGGGTTGTCTGGAGGGAACGACGGAGCTCTTCGGCCAGCAGATGTGTTGCTTTACTCTTGGAATAGAGGCCTAGATGTCTGTGTTGACTTGACGGGGTCTTCTCCATTGACACAATTTGGGTTGTCTGACTTCGTTCCTGGTCGTGTCGTGTCGGCTGCGGCTCAACGGAAGCGGGACAAGTATGGGGCGCGTTGCAGGGCTATTGGCTATGGTTTTCTTACTTTCTCCTTTTCTTCATTGGGGGAATTGGAGAAGGATGCTATTGCATTGCTGAAGCGGGTTCAGGCGTTCGCTAGGACTCAGGATATTGGTGCTCGTGCGGCTGCTCACATCTTCAACAGGATTGGGTTCGCTATAGCTAGAGGGGTGGGGGCCCAGATTGTATCTCGGCTCCCCACTGATTTCTTGTAAATCGTTTGACTTTGTAGGTTTTTGATGATGATAATAATAATAATAATAATAATAATAATAATAATAATAATAATAATAATAATAATAATAATAATAATAATAATAATAATAATAATAATGCAATAATAATAATGCAATAATAATAGTAATAATAATAATAGTAGTAGTAGTAGTAGTAGTAGTAGTAGTAGTAGTAGTAGTAGTAGTAGTAGTAGTAGTAATGAAATCTGCTCTGCTTTTCCCTGCTCTGCTCTGCTCTGCTTTGCCCTACTTTGCTGAAATTTGTTCTCCTCTGCTCTGTTGAAATCTGCTCTACTCTGTTCTGCTCTACCCTGATCTGCTCTGCCCAAAAGCTCAAAAGAACAATGCCTACCTCAATCTCACTCTAATGAGCCACAAACCGTACAATATATGAGTATATCCATTAGTCTTTGTATCTATTGTACTAATCTTACTACATTTAGAATTTGATATGTAAAATTAAATGAATGTGTTAATAAGTTTTAATTAATTTCATAGAGGATACATTTACTTCGTAAGTTAAAAGTATACATTATATATGTAAATATTTTTTGGGTTTCCTAATTTATAACACAGCTTGAGTTCGTTGTTGTATTAATTATAACCTTTCTATATAAGATCAATGGAATACTCTCTAACTCAAGGAGACTCACACGTGCTATTAGCTAGATTGTGTAAATTAAATCTTCTTGAGTGTAATTTTCTCATAAAAGAGGGAAAATAGGTTATGATACAATGAAAATTATTTTTTTAACAAATCACAAATAGGTTATACCACAATAAAGATATATACTATTACAAAGTAATATATATTCTGATAAGTGCGAATAATTTTTTTATTTTTTTTTTTGAAACAAAGTGCGAATAATTTAAGATCAAATAAGTCGTCAAATATTTAATAATAGAATAAATTGAAGACTAAAATTAGCATGTTTAAATAAAATAAAATGGGGGACTATTATAAGTATATGAAAATATCTAATAAAGGACAAGTAAGTTCTTTTGAAATATTAAGCTATTCGCTTAATTAAGTGCCAAAAGTAGGCTATTAGAAAATGGAAGAAGAACGACAAAAAGTTAGGTGTAAATGACTGATATTCTCAGTGATTACTGAACAGTTAGATCAAGTTCAAACAATTGAATCGAGTCTATCTCCCTCTCTTTTTAAAAAAAATCTACTTACAAACAAAAACTTCTGATCTCATTAGCAAATTACGGAGTAGACATTAATCAAGCAACTATTCATTGACAAAATTTCACATGCATTCGACATAAAGTGGAGTTTCTTATCTAAGCCTTGTTTGATAATTGATACGAAGTAACGATCATAACTAGTTAGTTGATGCGGATTGCGGAATACTCGGATCCGTTGAGACTGTAGTTGTTTGTTGTTAACTACGAAGTAGTTTGTTCCTTCACTCCTTGATCTATATGACCAAGTTGGAATACGAGTAGAAGCTATTTTAGTCGGTAGATACACGTTAATTATGTGGAGTACTACAGTATATACAAAATAACATGACTTTTAAACTAGACATATATCGTATATGATCTCTTTCACGGTTACACATTCGAATTTAGTTATCACGTTATTAATCACGGAGTATTTTAAATTATCAGCAACATGCATGACTACAACGATGCTTCACCAAATATGGTCATTTTGTTTAGGACGTCAGACTAGACAAGCACCTCAAGCATTCATGCAACCCTTACATATAGAACACACTGATTAACTAAGTGATTATAAAGACATGTCAAGTAAGAAAATTCTACAATTGATTTGGTATATTGTTTACTTTTCAATTTACCTATATATTAATTAACAAAAAGGGTATTTTCATTTTTACCACCTTCAAATAATGACTTTGTCGAATTTACCACCTCCAAAAAAAAAACATTTACTTTACCACCTCATAAAAAAATTAAACATCAGTTTTACCACCTCATCTGAGCTCAGGTGACGGAAAACGCTTGTGGGGCCCAGTTAACTGTCACTTCCCTCCAATTTAATTCTTTTAAAATCGATTTCCCTCTGTCTCCTCCTTTTCTCACCTTCCACCTTCCATAATCAATGTCTCACCAAATTTCTCACTTCCTCATCAATTTTCGTCTCTCTCTCCTTTGATTTTTCTTGATTCTCACTGTAACTGCTTCTCTCTCCTTTGATTTTTCTCTTTCTCTCTGTAAAAACTGAAACCCTAGATCAATTTAGGTGGGGTAAATCGAGCTGGAACCACAAAATTGCAACACATCAGCTTCTCTTGTCATCTTCCACAGGGTGAGGGGACCAAAAGCTTGGTAATTTGCTGACAGAAATCGAGATTCCTGACTACAAGAGGTACTTTAAACCCTTTATTAGTACATTTCGTTGGATTTATGGTTGTCAATTGGGGTAAAGTATGCCTTTTTTGGGAATCTGTGAATTAAAGTATTATAAACCCTAATTATGCGAATCTTTGACTGAATTAGAGTGTGCATTTGTTAAATAATTAGTTAATTAGATTTACTTGTTTACTGTTAATTTAGTGCATAGTCAATGTGAATTGCTTTTACTTGCTGTAATTGGTGAATTGGTTGTTGTTGTTTACTGTAATTACTGAAATTGGTTATTGTTGTGTGTGCTTTTGTTGGTGTTGTTACAGAATGGACACAGTGGACTTAAAAATTACAGTAGGGGGTGCCTTTATACCTTCTTTAGCTGGTAAAAATAGGAGGGTGTTAACTTGGGATGGTGGGTGGGTTTATTGGATGAGAAAAGTGGAAAAAAATAAGATAGATGTACACTTTTTGAGGCAAGCAGCTATACATGGGTTTGTGTATGTGAATGTGAAGGTTCCTAGGGGGTTTAGTTGCTGGTATAAACAAAAGGGCAAGTCTTAGGTGAATGGTAAAAGGGAGCTTGTTGATGGTGAGGTGAATGGTTTCCGAGAGTCTGTGAACAAAGAGGGGGCATGTGAGATGTATGTTACCAGTCATGAGCCAATTGAAGGGACTAACAAAACACCCTTCAAATGTATAGCTGGGAATGAGCTAACCCCTGCGCAAAGGAAGGAACTGAAAAAGAGGTTTGGTGGGCCTAAAGTATATAAACCCAGCCCAGAACTTAGTAAGCCCACTGAAGAAGAGCCATTTAGGAGAAGCCCTAGGTTAAAAGGTATTGTTATACATGACAGAGAGGCTGAGGAGAGGCTTCCTAGGGCAGAGAAAGTGAATGCTAATACACATAAAGGGAAGGGTAAACTCACTGCTGCAGATAAGGGTAAGGCTAAGGTTGGGGATGAGACTGGAAATTTTGCTAATTTAGTGAGAAAAATAAAAGAAAGAGTGAGGAGCTTAGTGGATAACAGTGATGTGTTTAGTGATGAGGATGGTGATACAGAGTCTTCTGATTCTGAGTTGAGTGATTTTGAGTTAGAAGTTGATGAGGGAGAGGAGGACTTATACTCTGATGATGATGAACAATGGTTGAAGAAAAATTTAGACCATATTAACAGTGAGGTGAAAGGCAGTTTGAGGGGAGTTACTGAAGGAGGGGATCAAAGTGATGATGAGGACACAGGGTTTGACATAGAAAGAAATCTACAGAAAATTGAAGTGAGGGTTGAAGAGGAGGCAGCTTGTGATTCTGATGAGCTAAAGAGTGTGGAAGGTGATTTAGATGATGATCAGGGTATTGTTACTTGGTTTAACCCTGAGACAGACTTTGAAAGGGCTATCAAATTTGTAGTTGGTCAAAGGTTCAGTGATGTGCAAACAATGAGAAAAGCTTTGAGACAACATGCAATTGAAAATAGGTATGAGTATTACCTTCTTCACAATGATTCAAAGAGGCTAACAGCATATTGCAAAAGGAAATGCAAGTGTGTGTATAACAAGAACAGTTGTAGGATAGTGAAGTGTACATGTAGTAAGGGTGTTAGGTGTAGGTTCAAGTTTTATGCAACAAGGCTTGTGAAATCAGAGGCTTGGCAAATTAAGACACTAAGGCTGAAGCATAGGTGTGTTAGGAGTAAAATGAACAACAAGGTGACAGCAGAGTTCCTTGCTGACAGGTACTTGGAGGAGTTCAGGGGCAACCCCAGATGGAAGATTAAACAGATTCAGGACAGGGCCTTGAATGACTTGGGGATCAAAATTACATACTCCAAGGCTTGGTTGGCTAGAAGCAGGGCAAAGCTTATAATATATGGCTCTTCATCAGAGCAATACTCAAAGGTTTGGGACTATGGGAAGGCACTGCTGAAATGGAACCCAGGGAGTGAGTGTAATGTGGTGGTGGATGATATTAATCAAATTGAAAGACCAATTTTTATGAGGATGTTTGTGTGATTAGCTGCACTTAGGGATGGATTCATTTCTGGTTGCAGACCAGTAATTGGGGTGGATGGGTGCCATCTAAAAGGGGCATACCCTGGCAGATCTTGGTTGCAGTTGGAAAAGATGGCAATAATGCCATCTTCCCAATTGCTTGGGCAACTGCAGAGATTGAGAACAAGGACAACTGGTGCTGGTTTCTAGAGAGCTTGCTCAAGGCACTTTGTGTGTATGACCAAGGAGATGGCTTGACTTTTATGTCTGACAGACAGAAAGTAAGTGGGTTGTGTTTGTGTTTAAATTACTTTGCTTTATTTGAATTTTCTGTACACTAACTTGTTAGTTTTGCCTTGTGTGTAGGGTCTCATAGAAGCATTTGCAGGTGTGGCCCCCAAAGCTGAGCTCAGATTTTGTGTGAGGCGTATTTGGTCAAATTTCAAACTGAAATTTCATGGTGCAACTTTCAAGGAATTGTTCTGGGCTGCTGCTAGGGCAAGCACTCTGGTAAGCTTCTATTTAGGTTCTTTTATGTCAGTTTTATGGTGAACTATAATGTATGCTAGGAACATTTAGTTTTGCACATATTTGCATGTCTTTCTATTTTGTGAAAACTGTATGCCATGTGTCTATGTTGTGTTGAATGGTTGTCATGTGTGTGGTTGTATCAGTTTGAGTTTGAAGTTGCTATGGAAAGTATCAATTTTTTGGATGAAGAAGAATACCAGTGGCTGTCAAACATTGACCCCCAGCACTGGTCAAGGCATGCTTTCTCTATAAACTGCAAGTCTAACATGTTGTTAAACAACATGTGTGAGACATTTAATGCAGTGATTAGAGATGCCAGAGACAAGCCTATTCTAACTCAAATGGAATGGCTTAGAAGATATATGATGAAGAGGAGTAATGACAAATAGGAGGCAGCAAAGTCTTGGGAAGGTTTACTAACCCCATTTGTCAACAAAGTCTTTGATGGGTTGGAGAAGTATGCCATGACATGTGAGGTTACAGCTTCAAGGGATGAAATTTATGAGGTGAAATACAAGGATGATCAGTGCATTGTGGATCTGCAAGAGAGAAAATGCACTTGTTATAGATGGGAGTTGACAGGAATACCTTGTGTCCATGCATTTGCTTGCATAATGGACAAAAGGGATGATCCTGAGTTGTATGTGCACCCACATTACTATAGGGTGACATACTTGGCTGCATATGAGAACCCAATACAGCCAATGCCTGGCCCTAAGAATTGGGAAAAGGTCAAGCTCAGACAGCCTTTGCCACCTATGCTGAATGTGCAGCCAGGAAGACCTAAGGCAAAAAAGAGAAAGCTTGAACCAGGGGAGGGCACTTCTGCAGCACCTGAGGGCAAGAAGCCAAAGGTGAAGAAACAATGCAAGAACTATGGTGGGTTTGGCCACTTTGCCAAAACATGCAAGGCTGAAGCAGCACCAGAACATCCTAACCCACCTGCAACAAATCCAAAGGGTAGGAGGCCACAGATGCAGACTCCTTGGCTTAAGGAACAGAGAAAGAAAAGTGAAGAGAAAGCAGCAAGACAGGTATTTTGTGTATTTTGTGACTTGAGTGTATTTAGTGGCTTTGTTTCTGAGTCTTGTCATACTGTGATTGCAGGCTGCACTGAAGTTGCCACAATATCAGCCTCTAACAACAGCACAGGCAGGGTCAAGTAATGTTGCACCTGCAACTGCTGTGTCAAGCCAGCCTGCAACAAGAACAGAGCCTTTGCCAACTCAGCCTGTTACCAGGAGCAACAGGAGCCTGAGTCAGCCCACAAGAGTGCCAACAACTACTCCTCCCAAAGTCAAAATACAGACCAGGTCCAAGCTTCATGTAATGACAAGCAAGAAGGACAAGGATCTCAATCAACTGTGACCCTCGGTCTACTCATTAGTATTTTGTAATAGACAGCCAAGTTTATTTGGTAGTTGAACAATGATAGTTGAACAATGATTTTGCACAAAGGTGCCTTAACTTTTGTCTCAGCCAATGTAAAACAATTAAAAACATTGTGTTGCAAGTACTAATACGAAATGTGATATGTTTCTACCAAAAAGTTCCATTTCTCATTGATTTTGTTAAAAGTAGTACAAGAAATGTCATCCCAACATCCACACATAATAATTCAACAAAACACAACATAAGTTGGGGATTTTTTTTTGTTTCTAAGCATTCCTAAATGAACCTAAGATCTAAAATACATAGCCAGTACCAAACCAAAACAACAAAACACAACAATAGCATGTACTGTGAGCATTTTCTTTGTTGTTGCATTGCTGCCATGCACTTCCTTGATCATCTTCTTCCTGTATGAGCTAAGAGCTTTGCATTTCATCTTCAAGCTGTCAATCTCATTGAGCAAGCACCTCCTTTGTCCACTAACATCATCAACTTCCCTCTTCATGTCATTCAGCTCTCCCTTCATTAGTTTCTTGTCCAGCAGCAAGTTGTTAATCACCTCTGTTTTCCAAGGTGTTCCATCTGGTTGATCCACCCACTCAAAAGCTTTACACCCCCTTGACTCAGTCACAGGATCATAGAATTTGCAGGTCCTAAACTTGCGTCCTGGGTTCTCCCTAGTCCAAGCAGTCAACCTAGACATTGGAACTCCACATTAGCATTTTTTCTCCTTTGAGGGTGACATGCTAACTGAAGACATTCCCTTCTGAAATTCAGTAAGAACAAGAATGAAATTAATTGTATTTGAACACAATCACCATAATATAACCCTAATTTCAGTAGCCAATTCACATAACAAAAACCCCCAATCTAATTTAATCTTACATGAACCCTAAGTATTTTAATTGAAATTGGGGTTTAATTGACCTCACAAAACGCCCAATTTCAATTACTCTTAGCAAATGCAACATAATCACGCAACGAATTGCCAAAAAATTACAACAGAAATCACTAAAATTGCTAGAGAATTAACGACAATGGCTTACCTTTTTGATGCTTGTTGTCGAGGAGTTCAATTGATTGTTTGATAATTAGAGGGTTTGGGATTGTTAAGGTTGCCCAAAAATACTGATTTGTGAAGAAAATCGCAAAAATTAATCTCCAATCTGCAAGAATTTGGTGTACAAATGAAGAACTAGGTTTAAATAAAAGGGAAATCGAGAGAAATTTGGGAAAAAATCAAAAACTAGCCGTTATGCTGGGCCCCACAAGCGTTTTCCGTCACCTGAGCTCAGATGAGGTGGTAAAACTGATGTTTAATTTTTTTATGAGGTGGTAAAGTAAATGTTTTTTTTTTGGAGGTGGAAAATTCGACAAAGTCATTATTTGAAGGTGGTAAAAATGAAAATTTCCTAACAAAAATTAAGAGAAGAAAAATCTCAAGTCATAGAAAAACTGTTGAGAGGATACGATTCTTCCTATGATAGGCAGCCGTTAATTGTCCTGTTAGGTTTAGTAATGATATTCGAAAATAAGGCTGACAAATTCCGGAATAATTAGAATATGAATTCAAGCCCAAAATGACGGCAAAATTAACGCGATTAAGCTTTTTCCTTTTTTCTTCTTCCTAGCTAAATATCTCATCTTTCGAATTTGTATCCTCTCTTTTTTAGCTTATTATTACACTCCATCTATTTTCTTTTTCGTGATCTTTTAATTCTATTTACGTGGACTGGAATGGTATAAAGGAAATAGAATATTATATTACGGAGTATAATTATTGTTTGGATATTTTTAGTAAGATTCTTTTGGAGAAATATAATGTCCACTTGTATTTAATACTTCGATCACATTTTATATACGGAGTACAAAATATTGTATACATACTTTGTATATATATGATTGGTAGTTTTCTCATTTTGGTAATGTATTTTTTTCGGATAGAGGTAAAATAAAGAAACTTTTTTTAGGGATGTCGTAGGAAAATTTAAACCTTGAGCTTGGTATATGTGATTCAGCCACGGATTATTACACGTCAAATAAGTGATAATGAGTCAACTAGCTTAGCCCAACTGTTCTTCATCCTCAATCTAAACTGCCAACAATAATGCTTCTTAAATACGTAGTATATCATTTATTTTACGTGCATCATATTTCAACATTGCTAGTATCACACTATGAGTATTTGTTTTTATACCATGAATTTTTACATTATATTGCATGCACTTTAGATGGAAATATGGAATAGCAATCCAAACATAGGCATAACGTGATACTAGAGAAAGAAGCACATGATGTTGCCAACTTAACTGAAAGTTATGCACTGCTTTTCTACTTTTCATTCTTTAACGTGTAAAAATATACTCGTACTAATATACGTTACGAGTATATCTTATATACCGCTAAAAATGTGGTTATTTGTGAAAGGGGGGTAAAAAAAATACAAAAGGCAATCCTCCTATTCTTTTCCTTTATTTTTTCCTTTACATTCTATATATCTTATTACACAAAAAAAAAAAAAAAAAAAAAAAAAGAAAAAGAAAAAGAAAAGAAAAGAAAAAAAGATGGTGGAGCTTCTATCATTATCCATTAAAGGTTTGTTGCATGCTTCATTTCCAACTAAGTGATGATTAGTAAAGAATTGACACTTTTTTGCCATATTCACAGATCAAGTAGGAGCATTATATTCCTTAGATAACCAAGTTCTATAAAGACTTTTTATTTGCACATATCCGTGCTTGTTTATTTAGGTTTGATGTCGATTTTTCACATGGCTTAGCTTGGAGTTGCTCTTTCATTATAGCTTTGGTGCCATTATATTGTCACTAGCTCACTACTACGGATTACGGAGTATGTAATGTCCAACACGTGATTCGAAGAAAATGTATTGAAAATGTGACGATACAGGCAAGCAATTTTTGAATTATACTTCTTACATCTCTTTGAACTCTCTTCATCTCTAAAAATTCAACCAATTTCATACTTTTTAATTAAACATTCATTGTCCAAACTAGAATTACTTTTAAAAGTGAATTGAGTATGACTCGATCTATGTAGTTTTTATACCTCTATGCATGGGCGAAGCCAGGGTGGGTTCAAGTGGGTTTATTGAACCCACTGATTTTTTGAAAAAAATTAAAAACTTTTTTTTAAAAAAAAAAAAAATCGAAATAGGTTTAAATAGAATATTTGTGTATTATATGGCAATAAGTAAAGTTGTAGCCCAGTGGTTATTATTATCTCCCATCACACAAGAGTTTGTGGGTTCAAAACCCATAAACTCACACTTTTTTTTTTGTTTCCTGAGCTTACCTTCCCAGCTTTCCTCTTCCTCATTCCCCCCAAATTGCAAAACCCTAACTTCTTCATCCTTCTCTTCCCGGCGCAGCAGCCAGCAGACCCACCGTCACAACTGTGTATGTAGGTAAGTGAATTTGGGGATTTTTTTTGCAAATGTAATTTACTTCTCAATTTGGGGACTTTTTTTGCTAAATCGTTGAATACTTGAAATTCATATGCTAATATACATTACAAATTTTGTCTCCCAACAAGATTAAATATGAATTTATTTGTTTATAATTCAACAAGTTTCAATTGATTTTTCCGCTTTTTGTCTGGAATTTTCTAGGTTTTCTAGTTTGATTGATTTTATGTATGTTTATGTGCTTTGATATTGCAGTTGTGGCTGATTTGGTTGCTGAGACTAGCAAGTATGTTGTTCCGAAGCGATTTGAGAGTCGGAATCTCGAAGAAGCTTTAATGACTGGTACTCCTTCATCTTCCGTCCTCTTAGCTAAGCCTCTCTTGTTGATCATTTTACTAATCAGAGCAAGTTTTTATGAATTTAGGCAAGATTTTATCCTAAATAGTAATAATTGTATATTAGTGTTTCGGGGTTTTCTGATGTCCTGCGGGAGAGTTACAATTCCGGGACTGGTATCCTTGCGCCTGTACCTCCAAAACAACGGAGACTCCTTGTGGTGGGAGCTCCGCCTCC